GTCTCGCTGCTCTTGGTCTGGCTGCTCCCCTTTGGCCTTCCTGGCATGGTTGCACCTTGTGGAACGAAGTTCCAGCCAGTGTAGCCCGCAGGATCGTTGCAGCACTGAATCCCGACCACCACGTCAAGGTGGCAGCTTTAGGTCGGGCCAGTGGTTGACCACTTAACCGTTCAATTATGAGTGGCTGAACAGCAATGCGATTAGCTCCCACCAAGACAGAACATAGCGCCAATCATCTTTTAATCACTGGAACCGCATCACGTAATCACGTATCTACTGGTCCCTAGAGTGACGACATCGAGTGACAGAAGCTTCACTCATTTTGTGAAATTACTCTCCCTCTGAGGCACTTGCAGATTGATTCATCCTATCATTCTTCCGTTAAGTTTGACGACATCTTATGCACTGCAGTTAAACCAAATCAGTGGCAGTCTTAGAGTGACTCATTGCGCCCAAACATGAACGAAAGAACGCTATCAAGCATAAGATTCCAACAAGCCGGAAAGTTGAGAAAAATGGAAACTGGTAGCTGCACCCACTTTCAGTGTAAGTCGCTCCGGTCAAATGTAACTCCTAAGTTAAAATAATGAACACGAATTTCTAGGGACTAAACATGGGCTATCTCCAGGATTTGGATGTCTGGAGGACCGATCTAACAGTATAAATCTTCTGTCTAACAATCACAAACCGTAATTTGACTCTGGCCACATCAGGAAAAGGGGAAAGCAGTAACATGTTTAGAAAAACTGTCAGCTGACGAATGACGAATGATAAAATACAGTCGACCCATTAGCGGCCTACAACCTCTAGATTGAGTGATATTCAGCTCCCGAACCTGAAAGATTAAGCTGTGTGTGGTCAGGATCAAATGATGATGTTGAACGAATACAATCTCAACGGCTAGTGAGAACCACATAGTACAGGGAACATCGCTGCAAGGACAACTTTGGGCCCAGGTAACCATTCCAGTATGCAACTATTCACCGACGGATATTATCACAGTTTTATACACCATCGGTTAAAGCAGAATGTAGGACGAGATGTCTTGATTGTGACATTAGTTCGTGGATAACGCTGCCAGCCAAGTGGTGATCAATCAAGGTTGTAAACAAGTGATCAGGAATTTTTTAAGAAAAACACGAGTGAAGTCTGTGTTGTTGACCAGAATAAAGAACAACGGTAGAATATAATCTATACTATGAAAGATGAAACGCACCAGAATTCAATATATACGCGTGGCCCTGACATCTTGCCGATTGCGCGAAGGATTTAGAGGTACAGATACAGGTACTAATATGACGGCAGGTACACTGGAATTAGAAAAAAACAGTTTAGTCAGGAGCTGTTTACACAGATAAGTTATGGTCATGCGTGTCCTTAAGCGAACACCCCGAAAGTATTCTCATCCGAGGTTTTAGAGGTTGGTAGGGAAGATATAAACGGCACAACAATAAGTAATATGAAGAGCAAGATCAACAGAAGACAGTCATGCCCGACGGCAGTGTCAAACTCGAAAAAGCAGATACAAAGTGCAATAAAACGGTTAGAGATAAGAGGTCGAAAACCTTTTGTCCTTGTTGAATGGCCACGAATGAAATCTAAATCATATCCTCTTGGCTTGCGGATGAGCTACAAGGAATCGACGATGTGTTGAGAAAGAAACGTTTGTTAGGGATTGGACGATGAATCAAGGGTAAGGACGCATACATCTGTCTCTACCTCCAAAACGGTAGAACCCGTAGACATCGTAGTCTGAACACGATGTCTCGGAATCCGTCAAGTGTGCGGCATGACGACTGAAGTGAGGAAACACGAATGGGGCGATATATGGGCAAATGAGCAACAGACTGGCACATTTTGCGTAGACACGCTTCGGCAGTTTCGTTTGATAATTATGCGCGTTGAGAGGTTGGAAACGGAGAGTGGAATGCGGGATCACATGGGGTGAGGGGGCTACGACTGTAAGCGGTAGGTTTGAAGGACATGTGGTGGGAAGAAATTCGTAACACCCCAAGAGCGTCTGGTTCTCTTGGGCCCGTCTTAGGGTGAGCGTAGTAGTGAGTTGAATAGGCCCAAGTAGGGTGCGCATTGTGTTATATTTGGGGCGCCATACTTCAGGACCGTAGAGGAAAAAACTCTCAGCTATAACACCCTTCGGGTGCCTAGCTGCCGCGCTACCCGAAGGAAGCACGAGGGCTGGGATATAGCCAGGTTGCCCAAGCCTAGACAGGGGAAGTCAGGAGGCAAAGGTCGGGTTCGAACCACGGACATTCCAGTCCGTAAATCCGCGCTCCGACCAAGTGAACCATCTCGCCCCGTAGAGGAAGCTGTGTTGAACTTATGGAACAGAAGCAGGTGGGATCATGGTCTCTAGTGAGAGTCTTCTGTACTGTAGACTGTCAGGAGATCATGATAGATTACAAGTGGTAGACGGCTGTCTGAAGCCACATCGTCATGGGCGGATTAACACAAGACGTACACTGTTAGGAAATAAACTACCGGTGGAAACGGCATACAAGGGTGTTAGCGGCAGGATGATGACCGTTGTTCGGATCTTAAGAATGCCTAGCAGTGGCAAAACAGGTGAAAACGATCCGAACTGCTATGGTAATGGGACAGCGCCACGAGGCGTTCAATGAACGCCTCTAACCAGCTTCCGTCGAGATGTCAGGGACGACGATAGCCTATGACCGACAAGTAAAACTGTCGACGCGCATCAGTAGGTAGACTAAATCCTGCAAAGGTGGTAAGAGCCCAGTGATATCTACACGGACTTGGTTAAGCCGGACATTAGGCGTTCCAAAGGCTTCTAAGAAGCTAGCCGTATGTCGGTGGGCCTCAGAACGAGCAGATGCGAGCTCAGTGATGAATATCGCGGTTGGCGTTAGGCCAAAAATGGGTTGGGTAATCGTACGGATGCATGGAGTTAAGGGTATGACAAACCGCGCAGAATGTCAGAAAATGTGTTTCGCATGCCATGCGATGACATCGACGTAATTCTGAGCATGGTATCTTCACAGTTCGTCAGACATAGGCTGTACTTGCAGGGATGTGGACGACATAATCATCTGAACCCTTGTTACACTGTAACTTGCGATTAACCATTAGTAATGATTTGTGACAAGGTAGCTGTGACGGTATTACAGGCCCAGAGGTGTGCCTTGTGACAACTGTAGGCTGCTATATGAAGTCCAGATGTCGTACTTCTTCAGGGGCTTACAGGATATAGCGAATGGCCCTACCTCAACAGACTACCGGAATTTTTGACGGACATCGAGATGGTGAGGATCACCGTCACCGTCAGCACGTCACTCACCGGACCGCGCCCTGATGAGTTTTCCCACTTGGTAACGAAAAGTCTGCTAATTAATTGCCAAGCCCGGTTAGCAGTCACCTAATCAACAACCAATAAACGCACCTGTGGTACCAATGTTTCAATACACTACCCATAACATCATTGTTCGGCACTGAAGAAAAGCATAAAGGGGAAGAAACCCGGTGTTGCCGTGGAGACAGCACAGTGGTTAAGGGGCGAAATTACCGATCTGAATGTTGTAACGGTATTTTCCTCAGCTTAGTTCTCGGTCTGAGCC